GGGCGATATGAAAATACAAAACAGTTTTAGTTAACATTTTAGTTACGAATAAGTAGATATGAATCATGAACATTAGGCAAAGAATAAAATCTAATATTACGTGCGTTAACTGGTTCTAATGGGCGAGCGCCGACAAAGAGCCCGCGTAGCTTTGGCCCGAGCCGCTGCCTAGAGCGGAGCGGCCAAGGACGCAACCAAAGGAATGCGGGTTGCGAATCTGCAGGCGGCTTCGCGAACTGTGAAACAGCGGGCGCGACCGGAAGTGGGTCAACGACGCCAAGAGCGACGGACGCGGAGGCGGCGCCGGCTCAGTCGCAGCAATTGGCCGCCACGAACGATTGCCACGCGCATCGCGATAAAAAAAACATGTGGTGTTCGAGTATAAACTATGGTGTTCATCGTTTTGAACGAAATTGGGGTTATCGGTCTACAGTAAAGACAGCAATATTCTCAAAGAAAAAAAAAGCAACAGGTATACTAGTACGGATATTGGAAACTAATATTGTAACATAAAAAATACATATAATGTGTCTCCACGTATGTATATATATATATATATATATATATATATATATATATATATATACTGTAATATATTGTATAGTTATCATATTAATATTGTAAAGTTGTGTTAAAAGTAAGAGAGAGTAGCTCTATCTATATTCCATGTGGATGGTTTATTTCAGTCAGTCAGAGTTTTGCAATTTTGAGTCAGTTTCACTGTAGGTATTCAAAGAAGCCCCGAGCGAAGCAGTTCTGTATAAGCGATTCTGGAGAGCGTTTGGAACAGAACTTCTAATAACATGTACAATATTTGTGACACGCTGACGCATTAGGAAGTTTTTTGGACTAACTTAAAAAAACAACTGTTCACTGACTTTTATTGTTTTTGAAACAACTCATTCAAGTGATTTGAATGGAGGGTAACAAAGTGGTAGAAATAATTAGCCTGAATGTTATGGTTTGTGTCTCACAGTATGTGCAAAATCGCGTTCTTACATTTTATTTTACCTCGAAACATGGAAAATCATTTACTATCATATATGTAGTACAGTCAACGTTTGGTATTGTCACCAGGATATGCACTGTCCCGAAAGCGATTGTGGTCGATGAAAGTGATATTTCAGGTGACGAAATGGATACTCTCACTCTTCCGAGTCTCTGACGAAAACGTTTGTGAGAGAAGAGTTGTCGGCAAAAGTTTGTCCGTTTGCTAACAAATTTTAAATTGTGGAAAATAGCGGATTGGTTTGTGTTGGAAAGAAAATGTACAAACAAATGTACCTTCTCTAAAATATATTTTGCTTCTAAAATTATTATTACTTAGTCTGTTAGTTTTATATATTTTATAAATCATATAGGTTTGAAAGACAATACAATTAAACCGTCATCTGATGGCATCAACGGCTTTCTATATTTGCTGCCAGTTTTCTCAGTTTCCCACACCTTCAACGGAAGATTAACATGTGATTAACGCCTATGCTTGACACTAATGCTTGTACATTATCACATATGAATGGCAAACACGTGCCGTGCAAGAATACAATGTATTCTTCTAAGCAGACACGTTATGAAAGTTTGTTTTATATAAACGTAACTCTCCACCTTTTTGTGCTAATTCACATGTCGCCAGAGGACTGACAATACATTGCCAACAAATAATTTGGAATCGAAAACATTGGTTTTGGGTAATGTAGGGTAGATTTTACTTAGAAATCAACAAGTGAATGCAGTATTCTATTAAACCATCCATTTCGTACCATTGAATAATTCATTGTAAAAACCCGCCTGACTATTCGCTCGGCCCCGAGCGAGCGGTGGCCGCCTGGAAGAAAGCTCTTCTGTCGCCAGAGGACTGACAAAACATTGCCAACAAATAATTTGGAATCGAGAACATTGGTTTCGATATTTCGGTTACTGCAGGGTAGATTTTACTTTGCAATCAACAAGTGAACCCAGTATTCCATTAAACCATCCATTTCGTACCATTGAATAATTCATTGTAAACACCCGCCTGACTATTCGTTCGGCCCCGAGCGCGCGGTGGCCGCCTGGAAGAAAGCGCGTCCACGGCGCTCGCCAGCGAGTACTCACTTTCCCGAGGAATCCGGTGGCGCCGGTGATGAGCACCTCCTTGCCGCGGAAAAAGGCTGCCACGCCCTCGTCGCTGCCCGCGGCGTCCATGAGGGGTGGGGCGCGTGCGGAGCCGAGCGGAGCGGAGCGAAGCGGAGCGGACCGGAGCACTGGCGTGGCTGGCGTGCGCGCGGCTGGCCGGAGCTGCTCCTGGCCTGCGACACACGCCGGAGGAGGTGGAGGTGGAGGTGGCTCCGCCGCCAGCGCCCCATGCGGCGGCTGCCGCCAACACCACCGCGGCTGAGCGGGAGGCGGGGGGCGCGTTACGAAAGTCGACGCCGCACCACACACTGGGTCCGAAGGCAGAAGCGCGCAGAGAAAAAAGCAGGGGTCTGGGGCAGTTTTTTTGTTATTTAAGGTGGCATCAACTTCTAGGTCATTAGGGACCACTATTACCGGTATGGTAACTGTCAGGATGACACGATATGATGATGATGATAGGGGGTGAAAGGACGAACACAATACAACCATGACCGAGGCGGGACTCGAACCCGCGATCCTTCGGTCCGAGTTTGCTATGGCACTACTGCCTTAGCGTTCTTGGCCATCCGGACCAACTTTTTTTGTTATTTAAGGTCGCACCAACATATAGGTCATGTTTTATGTTTATGTATGAGCTACCTCTATTGTACATAACGGTATGGTAAGTGTGAAGATGACATGATGTGGTGATGATAAGGAGTGATAGGACGAACATAATACAACCATGCCTGAGACGGGACTCGCACAGGCGATCATTCGATCCGAGTCCGCTACGGCATTACTGCCTTAACGATCTCGGCGTGGGGCAGTTGAGGCCACTCATTTCAAACAAAAATTTCCATCTTCCCCCAATTCTTAACAGAATTCATTTCTACATGTTTCAAATAAAAATTGTTGCGTTAAATTTGCATTAGAGATAATTTTTTTAAAAAAATTCTTTTGAATGAAAAAAAATAGGGGTCCCAATTAAGTCAGGGCTTGGGGTAAGTCACCTCAACTACTTCCCCTTCAGAACGCCCCTACCTGAAGGGGTCGCAAATAACGTGAAGCAATCAATTCACTCCATGGACTGCAAAGTCCACGCTAGTTCCTTTGCTTTACGCTCCATACGCTCGCAAAATACTCTTTCCCATATACCCATACTAATTCTTCACACGTTGTTTCATGTTTTATTTTTTATTAAAAATTTACGTTCGCAAGGGAATAATTATTTTCAAACTTTTGTAGTATTGCAAGTTTATCTTTATGTTTCTGATAACTTTTTTCTTTTTTTAATGGAATGTTTTTGTAAATGACACAGTTAATTTTTTTTCTGATAACGTTTATTCATACAATGTCAGTTAATTTGAGAGAAAGTAATGAAAGATTAAGATACACTTGGGATATTGATTTGTTATCATGTGGTTAATTATAAAGATGTTGAATATGTCAATAAATAATAAGGTAAGAGTTTAAAATTATTATTATTTTTAATTATTTTACGTGAATAACGAATTGTGACGTTCGTCGATGCACAACGCACGTATGATTGTGAAGATTCGTTGATTGCTTTGCCTCAAGGCGCGCCATCAATGAACCCTCCCTCTTACAAGGACTGCAGAGCCCACGCGCGTTTCCTTGCATTATTCTTCATATAAGCTTTGCTGCTTTTCTTTTATTCTTATTCGTATTCTTCACACGTTTTTGATGTGTTTATTAATTAAATTGCTTTGTAAATTGTGATTATTTACGCAGTTCAATTGCGCAGTGTATTTTATATCTCGCGTTTGGGGCGGAGCATTCTACGAATCCCCTTCCAAGAGCCTAGTTTCCCTAGTTTCTATGCCCCGTGCTAGTTTCTATGCTTCACTCTTCCTACCCTCACGAAATACTGCTTGCTTTATTTTTCGTACGCGTATGCTTATTTTTCACCAGCTAATTTCAGTTTTACTTTTGTGAAATTGCGGCGTGTTGAGGAACCAGGAATTCTCTTTACGGGGATGAATCGCGTCTAGCCGACTAAGTTTCAAACAAAACACAAAGAATTTGTAATTTACGTAAATTATTTTTTATGAGTTATATTTTTCTTTACACAATAATTCAATAGAAAACATTGCCATAGGAAAATTAAAGAATACAGAATTTGATAATACGGTATCACCTTCTGGAAGGAGGCGGGGGGCTCTGAAGACATCTTAGGATGCATCACTGTGAATATTATTTCATGAACACACATATACATCCCAATCCAAACATAGGCTAGTTTTTCAATTTCTGAAACCTAGATGTTAATGAAACCGAGATGGTAAAGCATTGTTCGGTTCTGGCCAGAACCGACAACTTACGATGGAACGAATATTCTTTTAAAACCAAGCCAATATGCTATTTTTCTATTCTTATGAGGGAGAGAAATGGTTGAGTGAAGCAATCGATGAACAGTCTGCACCGAAGTTGACGGGGCATATATGCTGCTAAGACCAACTGCTTTTTGAAAAAAAACCTCTAACAGCATAACAAGTATTCGGAGATAGAAGTTGCAAACAGAGCTACCAGATAACTTCAACAGTGAAGCGCGCAATTTAATAACCCCTGCGCGCGCAATTTAATAACCGCGTGCATTGGGCTATAAAATTAACTCGTGTTCTAGTGGGTTATTTCATAAGCAGTCGAAGTATGTACTTCAAGGGCCCTCCATCGGAAAGGGCCAATCGATTTTAAAACCGTTTTTAATAATTCGTAAATACTAAACCTATTTTAATAAAATTGTAGAGATGTTATTCTATTTTTATATTTCTATTTTTTACTTTTATCAATTTTTCAAATATTATTAGAGGTCCCATAGTTTGATATTGCTTAGAAGCCCTTAAGGCATTAATCGGGGGCAGGCCACTTACACAGACAGTTCAACTTATCTGGTAGGTATTAAGATTGTCAGCAATACTATTCGTCTCCAAGTTGTTGAACACACTGAAAACTTTGATGTAATTATTGAGGAACTATATGGTGTACGAATCTAATAATTTAATGTAGATCGCGGAGCGATGACCAGAGAAATGTCTACAACAGAAAGATCACTACGCAATCGAAAAGAGAATTAATCTATTTATTTGATTGGTACACCATACCGGTGTCCCATTAACATATCTCTAATTTGGACGCAATTAATCCAATTGAATATTCGTTTATTCTCAACACTTTTTACAACGGCTATCAACTTTTGTGGATATCCCGACTCTTATTCGTTGTGAATTAATATCAAAATATTCTGTAGTCAAAATCAGTTCTCAAATTGACTCAGTTCTCAAATAACGAGCTACACACAGGTCCGAGAAACTATGAGATTTGGTCATTCCTCAATGTCAATAGTAAAAACAATTGACCGAAAAATCAGGAGAAACGAGTTTTTTCCCAGTCGAGATTTGTAATAATTTGAACAATTTGAAGTAGTAAATCTATTATTACACACCTGTCCGTGATGGTTAGGACGTACATGTACTGAACGTTGATTCGCAGGTTCAAGGTTCGAAGAGCCGCTGATTCGAATCTCGTATAGAGTTATTTTCCTGGGTCTTTCGTGCGAGGATTATCGAGTCAAATATTCCCAGTGTTGATGAGTACGTAATCGAAGGTGGGATGGATTGAGAAACTCATGGGATGTCAAAAGAAACGTTTTTGGAGCCAAAAGTTCGTAAAAGTAATTACAAACCTGTAGAAATTGATTTTTTTAAAACGCTTGTTTATTCTTATTACATTATTTTTTTAAAAATATATCTCGCTCGAAATGCTTGCTTATGTACTAAACAAAATGCATCGTATTTTAACTCAATGTCCTATATATCAGTGCAGCAGACACACAACTAGGAGAGCAAAACCCTGACTTGATGCTGTCATCCAAAGAATACCAAAACAAACTATTTAAATTCTGTAAAGACAGCATTCTCAAAAAATATAATTTTAACAAGTATACTATTACGTATATTGGAAATTAATACTGTAACATAAAAAAATACATATAATGTATGTCTACACACACACACACATCACACCACACCCACACCCACACACATCACAATTATTATATATATATATATATATATATTATATAATATATATATATCATACCTAATTTATTATAAAGTTGCCATATTAATATATATATAAGATGTATTTAAAGTAGTCGCTAACGACTTCAGTTTTTGACTGCAACTATTACATAAAGTTTTTTTAAAAATATGTGCGCGTATTGGAGTCGTTTCTGCCACTGGCACGTGCGCGCGGCCGGCGGGCCATAGCACTTTCTTTCTCCGCGGCAGATGCGGCGGCCTCCGCCGGCGGGCAGCGCAGGTGGGGTGCGGCGGGTGGGCGGGGGCGTGCGGCGGCGGAAGCGGCGAAAGAAGAAAGGTGACGTACGAGGGGAAAACCGATAAGACGCTACGTCAGTAGAAGCGAGGTAATATTAAAGATGATAAAAGAAAGCAGTGACGACCATCGTTCCAAGGATGGAGGCGGGGAGAAAGAGATATGCGGAGGAAGAAAGGACGCTGCAGGTCTAGGGATGTGAGGGGAGAAGGATGAGAAGTTTGATTTAAATTAGGCGGGTGGATGACGGCGGCGACGAAGGTAGATGAAAAAAAAAAAAAAAAAAAAAGAAAAAAAAAAAAAAAAAAAAGGAAGAAAACGAAATAGATAAAAAAAAAAAAAAAAAAAAAAGAAAAAAAAAGAGGATAAAAAAAGATAAGAACAAAAAAAAAAAGTTGGGAGATAAGGAAGCGTGATAGTAAACGCAAGGAGCAAGGAAGATGTGCAAGTTCGAGAGATGACGGACGGAGGCAGTGGCAAAGGGTTGTTGAGTGGGTGGTGATGCGTGTGAGCAGGTTGAATACGTAATGACGACCGCGAGCAGTTAGAAAAGTAAAATATGGTGGTAATGGAGAAAGACAGCTGACAAGAAGTGACGAGATCCAGCATGAAAGATAAAAAAATCTGAAACAGAAACTGTGGTATTTGGTAAAGCGAACACCAAGCCAAGCGAAAGGGAAAGCTCAATAGTATGTTTCATATACGCACACTGATGAAGATTGTCAGCTTGGAGAAGGCAGAGGCGAGGAGGCTGGGCGTGGAGGGCGAATGCCAAGTTGCGGCAACCTGGCGCTGCAGCTGGAGGCGGAGTGGAGGCTGGTGGAGGAAGGTGGGAGAGGCTACGCAAAGGTACGAGCGGAGGTGGGGAGAGAGAGAGAGAGAGCGTAGGCGAGGGCGGAGGC